GCACAAATGCTGACAGTTATAGTATACACATTTGTTTTGTTGTTTGCTTTTTGTCCCATAACAGACATGATGGCACAATAAGTTAGTCGCAGTTGGGATCCCCACTAAGTATCCTTTTATACTGATGTTCCATTGCAGCTAATTTTTTTTTTTTTTTTTTTTCTTTAAGAGAACATGTCTCCATGTTTTCAGGCTGGCGGGGACACTCCGACACATATCCAGCTCCATCTCACAGAGGATAGGTTGAGCATGTGGGCCTCAACAAAAGTTGACTAAGTACTGAGGCTCAAAATGAATGAACTTTTGCAAATCTATTTCATTGAGTACTTCCTGGATTTTGAAGCAGACTTGTACACAGATCACTATCATCTGTAACATAAATAACAGTTTTTCACAATAAAGACAAACGAGCTGATTTAACCATGCATGAGTGCTGATCAAACAAGATGTTCGTGCTTCATGTTGAACCATTGCTCAGAAGAAAAGATCAAGGAAAAAAGGTTGGATTCAAATACACAGGAACCTGTCTAGGGAGTTTGGAATTTAATTCTCATAAAATGTACTGTTAAAAAAAAGAAAGAGGGAGTTGTGGCTATTCATTTAAATTTTTCCTCTTAGACAGTTCAGATGTATTTGAGTCTCTCACAATCACGGCCCTGCTTCTTCATACACACATTTTATAACAACAACATGTTTTGGGGGAACGTACCTTCACTAAGTGTTTCTTCCAACATTTTCGTGCCTAAGTTCCGAACATACAGGAGCTCTGCCGTTTTTTTCCTTCAGAGTCTGTAATTACAACACCCTATAGATATGGCCGCTCGACCCACACAACCACCACCCAGTTTGTCCTTTACATGCTATCATCCATGAGAAAGGCTCTTCTGGGTCATATTCAGTTCATTGTTGATATTTCCTTCTCCTCTATAGTCCGATTATTCCCAGGGCAATTAGGCAAGAAAAAGAAATAAAAGGCATCCAGGTTGGAAGGGAAGAAAACGATCTCCGATTACTTCATCCTGTACATAGAAAATCCTAAGGCATCCACTTAAGAGCCGTTGCCAAACAAACAAGCCAGATTATAGTTTATAATTGACCTGTGAAACAAGGCTATAATTTCAGATATCAGTATGCAAAAATCAATAGTATTTCTATATATAATCAATGAACAATCAAAAACTGAACAAAATAACAAAACTAACAATCGTATCAAAATGAATAAAATCACAAGCAACAAATTTCAAGAAAGTACCAAGTTTATACAGTGAAAACTACAAAACACTGTTGAAAGAAATCAAAGAC